ATCAAGGTGAAACATCACAAGCAGATTAACTTAAGACTAAATTCATGTACTGATTTTCTTTAGTACAATCCCTTTATGGCATTACCTTGTTAGACATTTCCCTTTGACAGTGTTCTTTACAAGACAAAATCACCCAGTTCTGCACTCTGGAAAAAACAAGTTTGATTCATTATCACGTTCATCCACCACTGTGTGAGAAAACCTCAGGCAATTTATACTGTATGTTTAGATTCTTATACAATACCATCGGAGAGGCATTTGATTGGTCCTAAATTCATTCTGCAGCAGTGCAACAACCCCAAACATGCAGCCAGAGTCATAAAGAACTATCTACAGTGACAAGAACAGATGGTAGAGCCCGCAGCCCTGGTGTCAACATTATGGAGTCTGTCTAGGATTACATGAAGAGACAGAAGACACCGCGAAAGCCTAAGGTCACAGGAGAACTGTGGCACCTTCTCTGACATGCTTCCAACAGCCTACCTGCCAAGCAAAACCTGTGCATGGGCATCCAGAGGACCGGTGCTTTTCTCAGGGCAAAGGGTGGTCACATTAAATATTCATTTGGTTTGCATTCTGTAAGAAAAGGCAACTTTATGGCAGTATTTCAAAGGTATCCAAACCTTTTCTTTTTTTAAATTCTGTATTTCATGCAGTAAGCAGCTCTCAAAGGTGCAGGCAGGAAGTAGAATTAAACAACATAAGGCTCGGGGGCCAGAATTGACCCTGAAAACACTCCAGTATGGCCCATGGGATGGCTTTGGAAAATGTTAAGGGCACAAATTTTGGACTTTAAACTGTATTTTCATTTGTTTTTTAAGCTTTTTTTTTTTTTTTTTTTTTTACTGATAAAGACCTCCTTAAAACATTCATACATCTAAGTAAGTAATAGATAAACAATTAAATGACAGAAAGAGTATTACTTTATTATCTGCTATAGAAATTTTAATTTTTTACATTGCACTTTTTTCTCTAATATTAGGATATATCGGGGATTTAACCTCTAATGACCACAAATATGAGTTTGACATCCCCGCTCTAATTTTTGATAGTTTTAAGGAAGAAAGTATTAATAACAGTGGTTTAGCACCTCATCATAACAAGACAATTCCTGGTCTGAACCACCTGAAAGCTGGTGCCGTCTGTGTGGGGATGTTCTTCCTGTGCTTGCATGGACTTGCTCCCACAGTCTAAAGACATACATATTAGATTACCAGCCAGTAGGTGTGAATGTGAGTGTGAATGGTTGTCTGTCTCTCTGTGCTGGCCTTCCAAAAGACTGATGACCGATGGATGAATGGATGGATTGCAATGTGCAAGTAGTATTTTTTCTTTCTCTTCATCAAGTCAGACTTGATTTTCCCTCTGTTACTGCAGTCTGCCCATACCTTATTGAGAAAATTCACATTGTGTGAAGTCCCACTACCTCATTTAGCATACAGTGAAATTGTTAAATGCAGCAAGATTGCCATTACCGTGAAGTACAAGCTGCAGGGGGAATCGTGACAAAATGTGATATCTTGTCAGCGGTTCAAGAAAGGTAAGAAACTGAATTCAAGCAACACGGACCAGAATATGAAGATTAAGACCTGGTTCAGCCTTAGATGTACAGTATTTTACTTTTACATTAAGATCACTAAAACAACAGTATAATGGCAACCAAATGGCTGACAGTATTATGCTGTAATGCTCATATTCTATCCAGCACTGCACTATAAGATTTTTTTTGCAGTAAGAAACTCTCTAGATTGCTGTAGGTCCACTGTATAATCACAGTTTCATGCTAGCTAATCTGGCTGACAGTACTTTACTGTAATTTTACAGGGAAATTTGTTACAGTGTATCACTCAGCCCCATCTCCTCTTCTTTTGGTCTCCACTACCTCTGCAACAGCCGTCTTAAATTAATGTTAAGCTAAGAGTTCAAGCTGCTCTAAATCACAGTCTCAGCCTTCAGTGAAGGTGGTGAGCCAAGGGTAAATGAAGTCAGCGTTACTGCTTTCTTATTCGGCGCGTAAGGAAGACGCCTGGGGTTTGTGCAAGTGACATGCAATCAGTTGGTGGCTACGCTGCTTATGTAGCTAATGTCAGCAATCCACAGCAAAAATGCTCAGTCAAATTTCAGGAAAACCATTTTAAATATGAGCTTTCTTTGGCTTGAAATAGACCAGAATTTGAACCTTTGTTCCTTGTGAGAGGACATTTGCAACAACTGCATGTGGAACCTCACAGGTCCTCCAACATGACATTTGTATGTATGTGTACAAGTGTCTTACAAGTAGATGTGAATACATGAGTGAGGATTTTTTTTTATGATATCAAAAAGTAAAAAGGTAGACGAACAGTGGGGTCGCTGTGTCCTTACTGTAAGGGTGTAGGAAGGAGAAGGATGAGTGTGTGTTGTGGTTTGTCAGAGCCGGTGCCCTGTCGCGCGCACACCAGGGAGGGAAAAAAGATAGGTGTGGGCGGGTAAGTTGGGGACTAGGTGATGGAGTGTGTGAGGCAGCAGAGGAGGGGGAGCGGAGTGATGGAGTGCTGGGTGGAGGGAGGGCGGAGGGTGATGAGTGTGTGCTCACAGTGTAAGTGACACCTCTCCTCCTCAGACAGATTGTCTCTCTCTCCCTGTAATGGGAACCCCGTTAGAGAACCTTTTCCCTCCATCTACCCCCCTTCTGCACACACACTTTGTCACCATTCCCATGTCTCTCTCTCTCACACACTCTGTAACAATTTTTCTTCTGTATTTATTTTCTTCTATCTGCCCAGATATGTCCACAAATTGGCTACATTTCTGTGCATTTCAATTCGCCCCTTTCTCTGCATAATTTTTAATCAATCTGCACCTCGTTCTGAGACCGCTGATTGTCAAGCAGTTTACGCTGGTTTACAGCTCAGAGAGCGAGAAGAAAAGCGAAGGAAAAATAGCAAACGAGAGATCAGAAAGGAAGGAGAGGGAGGATATCAATATTCCCACTGCCGGTGGGATCCTCACAATGATTTTCTTCTCAGCTCCTGTTTGAATCTGACAGCGAAAATTCTGCATAGCTAGAGAGCCCATTTATCCCCTGTCCAACATAGTTCCCCGTGCCAATCACACTGAGATGAATTATATGCGTACTTGCTTTTAAGTACGACACTCAGATACTCACAGAGGATCTGAGGATACACAGGCTCAAAGAACCACTTGTACTTCCACGCACAAGTCCGCACACACACACCTGCCATTACCTCAAACAGGTATTTTGAACTAGACCCAAACGTGTTCGTTTTCTGAAATTTAATCAACAGCAGGTGTATGTCAGGGTGCGTGTGTGAGACAGTGGATGTATGTGATTGCTTGTGTGTGCCCGTGCCCTCACTAACAATCATCTCAGCAAACCAGATCAGAGGCTATCTCTTCGCTTCAGAGGTGCCGCGCTGGCGGGAGAGCGACGCGCAATCACAAAGACACCTCAGACAAATAGGCTTCATAACTTGTCTGTAACAAACAATCACTGGGGCCTGAGCCCCTATCCCAAATGAAATCTCTCGCACCTGTGTAGATGCAAGGATACAAAGGAATTTTTAATGCTCCCCCGAGTCAGGTACGAGTCTCCATGGTGATAGCAGAGTCGCTATGGTGATAAAGAGATGGCGTTCAAAACAATGGAAGCATTTTTATGAAAAATGTGAGGGAGGGGGGGGTCTTATCATGAAAATATATTCTTTATAGAGCCATACTCCTAATGAACATATGCGCACAAAAGCAAGTTTCATACACTTTACAGGGTCTGAAACTATGCCAACCAGCATGTTTGCAACATTGTAACACAATATACAACCTGCCAGGTACCCACCAACACACTTCCCACTGTTTTTGCTAACACTGCAGTACCATATGAGCTAGATAAAATGGTCATAGCAACTACTCAGTGTAGCACGAGTCTGCATGCACATAGCAACACTACACTGTAACAAATGTACTTTTTAAAATAGAATAAATGAAGACAATTTTTACAGTGTGCCCACTGTAATTATTCGTGTACTGTAAAAAATCTTTCTGTGCTGTACGGAATTGAAGATTTATTGTATAATAGTTGTTCCATTGCTATCACATTTGTTGACATAGTTTGGCTTATACAACTATTTAAAGCTACCTAAAACCTTGGAAGCAGACCATTTACATTTCTGTGAGTCCCAAGTAAAATTGCTGGATTAAACCAAAAGGGCTTCAGTTTGCTGTTAATACTGATTTTTTTAACTTAAAGTAGGGTAAAGTATTTAGCTTTATTCACCGAAAAACACTACATTGCAATACAAAATATTCTGTATTTTTACTTTTAAGTCTCACCAACACAGTATTCAAACTCTACAGATATACATCATCCATTCTTAGCATGTCAACATTATCCAAACATCAACTCCAGAAATGTCAAACCAACATCCAAACAAGTAGTTACCTCGGTGTTGAAGCTGTGAAGAAGCCTTTCAACTTTTTTTGAGCATCCGGAGTCTCATTGGCAATGCTGTAACATCAACGCCTCATGAATGTCTTTTCCAACTTCACACAAAACCCACCATCTAAGCATCCACCCACAACATCCTTCAAAATATCGCTTCAAAAAATCCAAACGTCACAACATGTAAGGTAACCAGAATATTATTCACTCTAAATTATTCTTAGATGCTTTAGGATGTGACCGTTCTCTAGCCTGCGCGAGCTCTTATCTGTTGGAAGAATTCATTATTTTCCATCTCTCGGCTTTAGATATGTAATTTAGCAGTCATTTGTGGAAAATTTAGTGTGAGAAATAGACCAAATGAAGGCACGTTAAAAAAAAGGCTTTTGGATCTGATGTTTGTAACAGTGACATTTGCATAATTTCTCGCTTTTAAAAAATGTCTCTATTGCTCATTTCAAAATATGTAAATGCATAAACCTTAGATGATTATACTACGCAAAAAAAACCCCTTTCATTTTACACAACTGTAAAGCTTACCTCGTTCTTCTCTCCTCCACAGGCCGTAGACTATGAGAGTCGGAGCTCCTATTCCTTCTCTGTTGAGGTCCTTAACCCGATAGTGGACCCCCGCTTCCTACGTCGAGGCCCCTTTAAAGATCGGGCTTCAATCCGAGTTGCAGTCCTGGATGCGGACGAGCCACCGAGGTTCTCTCGGGCCAGATATCACATGGATGTTTCAGAGAACTGCCCGCCGGCCTGCACAGTGGGCCGAGTCAGTGCAGTAGACCCTGATACTGGTCTGACCAATAATATCAGGTAGAGTACAAAGCTTCTGCATTTCAGCAGGGCATGTAGTCTTCCTATACATTTAGGTTGCTACTTTTCACTGTTGAGATAGCAAACAGCCTACCTGGGCTCCGTTTGAACAGGTTTTGTTTTTGTTTTTTTAAAAAGCTAGTCTTTCCAGTTTTCATGCTGAGATAGTAGCTGTAACTTAATCTTTGGTGTAAAACATGACACTGGTATCAGTTTTATCATCTGCCACCCAGGAAGAAAGCAAATAAGCCCATTTCTCAAAATGTTCCTCTCAGTATTTGCTGTTTATGAACTCATAACAAAACAGCTTTACAGGAGTTTTATTGCTGAAAGACAAATCAAGCATTTAATGGTGCTGGGACTTATATATATCTTCATTTGTTTTACTGTTTTAGAGGATATCATTTGTTTTTTGTCCAGCCACAAGCAAGGGATAGCCAGGCTTTTTGAATTAAATTCAAAGCAGGCTCTTCAGCTAAAAGAAACAAGACACAACAATAAGAGCTAACCAAATAAAAATAAGCCAACCAAATGCCCACACAGTGTTCCCACGAGCCAGACAGAAACCACAGACGCTTGCAGCTTCCAGTGCTTCGCTTGTGTTTGCGGTGGGTTTTGTCTCAAATAGTATGAGGAGGGAAGCAAGCGATTTGTCTGTAAAAACCACAGAAAACCGTGTCCCAATTAAAAGCAGAAGTGCTAAAAGCGAGTATGTGGGGAGGAATGATAGCTGGTATATTCATGGAGATATTTAGATAATCGGTAGCACTTCAAAAGAACTCTTATCAGCTGTGATAATCTCACTATATTAATTCTTTGGCCATTTGAATGCCGACTTCCTTATCGCTCCCTCACACACTTGCCCTGTCTGCTTCTTTCGCTCCGCACCCCACTGCCTTCCCCGCTTGCATCTTCCTTTCACTCATTCTTTCGATATTTCTCCCTGCCCTCTCCTCATTTCACCCGTCTATATCCTCAAACCCAACTTTCTCTTCTTCAGGTTCTCCATTGATCCTCAGTCAGACCCAGAGGCTCTGTTTCGTATCACACCAGAGACCGGTCTCATCACCACAGCGATGGAGCTGGACCGGGAGCGTGAGCACTGGCACAACATTACAGTCATCGCCACCCAGAGAGGTCAGAGGTCACTCTTCTTACAACACTTAATCCGGAGACATCGTTAGAAGTCGTTCATTGGATTATTTATTTTATTAGAGCTAACCCTTGACAACGAAGCTAGCATTTTCCCCACCTCTGACACCTTAACCACTGATGAGTAAGAGGTTTAAGAGACTAGAAACTGTGTTTTTTATGCTATCTGAAAGGCACAGTATCCACTGTATGATGCAGTTTACTAAGCGGCTTAGCTCTCAAGTCATCAAACCATGAGAGAAATGCTGTTTGGCGCCATGAACAGTTTGTTACAGCGCGTCAGAGAATCAATTGATCCGTATTGTGCGAGTTATCTGATGCCGCAATAGATCTGTTCTCGTAAGGATTCAACTGGAAACACTGAATTAAAGCAACAAATCGAACTCAGGCCTTGATTTGCCGACAGAACATGATAGCACAGGGGATCGGTAAATATCTTTCTGTTTCCAAGTATGTAGGATGTCAAGCAACAAGACAGTTAAGTTCAAGTTATACATGTTCCCTCAGTAAAAAAATGATAAATAGAAAATGCCAGGGGCAAGATCATCAGTAGGTTCCACTAGTAGCTGCTCTCAAGCTTTCAGTCATGATTAAGGTTATCTAACTGTCTCTTGTCATTTGTGCAATTTAATTAATAATGAATTTTGATTTAATGAGTATATATTTAATGTGCTGTTGATTCTTTCATAAATGTATTCACATCGGCAGAAGTAAAGCCAATTATAGTCCAGTAGGCCCAATTACAGCTCAGCCCCTACATCCTCTAATAACACACTTTAAGTCTCGTTGCTTGCTCACGTGGAGGCTTGGCAACAATAACAGATGTTCCAGAACATCTAGCTTAAAATTGCTGTCAGATATAAATGTGTTAAAGATACGTGTTCATCCATCAGGTAGCAGGATACCAGCCACTTCAGTAGGTACACCAGCTCCAACACTTATTAATCACCCAATCATATGACAGCAGTGCATTCAGACATGGAGATATCAAGAAAACCTGCTGAAATTCAAACTGAGACACTGGCAAGAAAAAGGTGGTTTAAGTAAATTTGAATGTGACATGGTTGTTGGTCTAGACTGAGCTTTTCAGAAACTCAGACTTTGCTATACAACCTTCTCTAGTGAGAACAGCTTTATTAGAAAAAGAGAAAATATCCAGCGAGTGGCAGTTTTCGTGGAGAATATGCCTTGTTGACATCAGAGGTCTGAGGAGAATGGCAGACTTTGGTTGTAACCACTCACTACGACCAAAGTACACAGAAGAACATTTCTGAATGCATAACAGGTCAAACCTTGAAGCAGATGGGCTTCAGCAGCAGACGATCACACAGGCCTCCACTCCTGTCAGCAAAGAACAGGAAACTGTGGCTGCAATTCACACAGGCTCAACAAATCCATCCTACCTTTTATCAACTGTAAGCAGGTGTGGAGGTTATTTTCTTTACACTCTACGCTTTAGATCACTCAACTGAGCATCGTTTAAATGCCACAGCTAACTGAGTATTGTTACTGACCTCTCCATCCCTTTATGGAGGGAGACTCAAACATACTCAAACAGGAGTAAATAGGAATGCATTAGCTGGCTTTTATTGTGTATGTATTAATATACATGCAGTATAGTATTTATCACTGTGTGTATGTGACAACCTTCACTGCCATGACGGAACATATCATCCAGTTCCAAACTTGCGGTTAATTTATTATTTTTTTATTCTTATTTTAGTACAAGGATACATCGTTAAAGAATATGTTATTTTTTCATTCGATTTCTTGACAAGAAAAATAGTAAATAACACCACATCAGCTTTTCTTAAAATGCCCTTCAGCCAGGTTAGTTAATGGATGGCACAGCCTTCACAGCTTATTTAAATGTAAATAATTTATTTTAAAGCTTACTTAAGCTTTCGGCTTCACAAACTATGACCCTGAGAAATATGTCTATTAGAAGCACCAAATGAAGTAGTGTTGTGACATTTTCTGATTTTAATGTATATGACAAACTCTACAATAAAGTTATTTTATTGTAACCCAAATATTTATCAGTTTTAAATGAATCCAGACATTAACCTTAAACATAATATTGATGAGAAGAATGAATTTCCATTTGAGGGTATAATTCAATAAACTTTGTAACACATTATTGTAACTGGAACATATCCATTTTACAGTAAATTTGGCTTGTCAAATCATATAATCACATTGATACTGTAATCATCACAATATATTTAATAATCTAGAATAAATTAAATCATATTGTTGTGAAATGAAAACAATATGATGCTTTTATAAAGTGTTATAGATGCATAAATGTTAAAAAAAAGGGTATTTTTGGTTAGTGTTCAGCTGTTAGGCAACATGATAACATAATAAATGATATAGAGAAGAACCTTTATGGGTTTAAGTTGTATCTGTATGCCAACTTTGGTTGTTCAACGTCTGTTCACATTTACAGGCAAACCAAGACATTGAGATTTTGTGTATTATAGTAAAATTCTACTTTTAATTAAGTATTTTAATATAGCTACCTAATTTAAACAAATTCACTCATTTTTTTTCATCTATTAATCTATAAATGCTTTTTTCATCTATTAATTACTGTAGAGAGGGCGACTTCATACTTCTTTAACTCAGAGTATCACTCTGAACACATATCTTTATTTACGCAGCCCATTGCACTCTTGGTGTCACAGCTCCTAAAAAGAGCAAGCTGAGCACAATATTGCATGTTGTGGGGATGCACTTGCGAAGATATCTTGTTAGTGGAAAAAAACAACACAACGTCTTGTGTTTTGGACAAACCAAATGCATTTAGGACTGGATAATTTAATGTAATTACGCAAGCATTTCTTTCTTTTCTTTGATGTCACTGATTTGACTTTTTCTCTCTCTACATTTATGTATTTTTAGAAGTCAGTGACAACCTGTTTTCTTGTTCAGTTTGCTGGACGGACGTATTACAATTAATACCAGCATCCTGTTAAATCCTGGCTTTGCTCCAGTAGCTGTGTCTGGCAGATGACAAGTCATAAAAGCACTCAAGAATAATCCAACTGGTTTGTTTATAAGTAGAAGTATTGTTGGAGAATTCCATCCAATGTCTGCTGTGCTCAAGGAAAAAGAAGTTGTTTTGCTGCCAAGTTTTGTTCTGGACAAACTTAATCTTTACTTAAAATCTACTCAGGGTTCCTTGTGGCAGCAATGTGTTGGTAGGACTGTGGCGGCAGCACACTGAGTGCCTGTCTTGAATAATGAGCTCTATCTAATAAACAGACTGTTGGAGACTGTGTTGACATAAAGCACAGTAGGAGCCCTGCCATGGCCACAGGCAGGCCAGCTCACCCTGTGGCATTACAGCAAGAGCTCATTTTCAGCTTTTCAGCGATGGGAACCAGTTGCTGTCATCCATGACACAGTGTTACTGCTGTTGGTTTAAAAAAACATGGTGTGGGAATGTTATGAATGTGAGT